AAAAAAAACGCCAGAAATAAGAAGACTTTTGACGTAAAAAATAATGCATGCGAAAAGTTCTTCACAGCATTTTCTCCCTTAAAAACCCCCTCTTTACGACTCGCTTGGCCCCATCTCAACACGAAGGAGGGAGAACCCCCTTACTCTCACCGTGTAACTACCAACAAGTTGTAGTTGGAAAAAAAACGGTTATTTGATGCGGACTGATTACTGAGCAAACCGTTCAGTAGTTTATACGTGGAATTCAATATTTTTGACCTAGAAGATCGTGTTTTGGAATTGTAATTTTAATATTTATCGAACTCTGTTTTCAAGTGTGACCAACAATTTAAATTTAGCTTGATTAAGTACTTTTTAGAAAATGGGCAAACTTGGCATCATCTTAGCTGCGCCGGTGATTGTCATAGCCTATGTTTTGTATCAGCGTTTAGCTTACGAGGCGGGAAAGGTTAATTCCTAAATTTTTGTACATTACTATCTTTTCACGTACTTTGCATCACCCTCCTTTGCCATGAATGATTTGATGTCGTGAAAACAAATTGTGTGGTTATGCCTAAGACTCTCATTTTCCTTTGTAACTTGTAATAATTGCTTCTTGAAATTTTTTTTATTCAGTTTAGCATGTACTGGATGACGACGGCTGGTATGGCAAAGGCGCAAAAGAAACAGAATCCAGTAGTATTGTGCCATTCAAGATCGATGTCCCAGACGAAGTCTTGAAGGTTAGCAATTTTCTGGACATTTTGATCAAAGGGACTGACTGCAGTTAAGCGCACTTACTCAGAAACTTAATTTTTTTGTCGGTTATCTACTTCCTTTTCCACGTACGAGGTTTTTGACTCTTGCTTAATTTATCCTTAACAGTTCCAGATTTGTTCATGTATTTCTCCCTAACTTTGAAAAAGTCTAATACCAAAATATCATTTGTCTCTTATGCAGTTTTATAACAAAACTCTTAATGACCTGTGGTGTAGCATATAACAGCTGCGTTCGTAATCTTGAAGCTGAAAATTGGGAAGGTCTCAAGTCTAGCTCTATACCTGCTGGTAGTTCCTCTGTTCCGGCTGTTTTCTGCTTTCCTAAAAGGCACATCTGTAATTGTAGGTTTTTAACTGTTTGTTCAGAACTTATTTGTTCACTTTACAGGGTAACCAATGGAGTTATTAGCATAGGCTTTATGAAGCATGTGCTGACATGTACGTTTCAAAAAATTATCTGTTCCTACCATAACTTTGTTTGTTAGTTACAGAATTACTTTGATTGCGGGTTTCAAGGCATTTTTTGTAACACTTC